CTGCTAAACCCCGAGCTCTCAATATCCTGGCAGTGGGATTGTCCTTGTGCTGTTCGCTATTTAGCGTCCTCTGGCCTAACACTGTTTGAGACTAGGCTCTAAGGAAAGCTGTCTCTGGTGTGGAGCAATCAGTTTCAAAGGCAATGCATCGTATACTACCAGAGCATAGTTGTTGTGTTTACATGTTCACCACAAGCATATGTGGTTAATGCAGACATATGATTCTTTGCAAAAGGTTTCAGTTTGGTGTTTCGACATCTTAGCGCAACTGTTTAATTGCCAGAAAGGGTAAAAGCTATTCTTATTTCGATTTAAAGCTTTCGTGACTGCAGGGATTCATCTTCTTGGTTCTTTCGGTAAAGTCACGTAGAAGGGAATTAATACAATAATATAAAACAATATTATTTTATTATTTCTCTTCTACGTTACTTTACCGAAAAAACCAAGAATATAATATATGCTGTCTTTCCGACAGACCTGTTCTTCACCTGAGGACGGCTGCTTGCGTTGTGGCCAAAACGTCGTGAGAATTATTTTATTATGTTTCATTTTTATTATTTTATTGACTTTACCGAAAGAACCAAGAAGCTATTCTTATATTTTGATTCAGGCATGAGAGGTCCCATGATGTTCTCCCCCCTGTTTTGCATTGGTTTCCCCTCTGGGTTCTCTCGTTTCTTCCCACAGCTAAAAACAAACGAAAAAATCATGACATACAATGCAACTGGTATTGGGGCCAAACACCTACCAATTACTCAATTTGCGATTACGTGTAGCAACATCGCCCCATAATGAGAAAACTTTGCAAGATCCTCCCCGCTAAAGAAAAATGAGGCTTTCAAGGGTAAACAAGTGCCGTCGGAATAATAATACCAACACAGTCGTAGAGTTGTAAGTACCTGAAGATCGAGTCTCAGGCTGCACGGACAGAAAACATGAAGAACAATACAAAACAAGGCGGGGGGGCGGGGGGTAAGAGAACAAAACGAAGAGTCGCCGAGGCTGGTGAGCGGCTGAGAATCAAGCAGCTGTAAATGTGCAAGGTATTGTGAGTTTTCTCATGATGCTTATGGGCTTACATTGAGACATCTCGGCTTCAGTGTGTGTATTAACTGATAAAAAACACGCAAGGCACACAACGGGATCCCCCACTGTGAACAACCCGGCACGATGAGCACCTCTTCGTCTCGACCCTTCGCCGCGAGCGTTCTTATCGCACAGTTGCACTTAACGTGGCCCCTCCACCGCTAATAATGTGCCTTGAGAAGGTTCTGTTACCTTGCCGCGAAATGGTACAACTTACGCATTTCCATGTAAAACGCTAATAAGAGCTGGTAAATCGCACAGCGCTCCGTCGCTGTATACGAGGCTCGTTAAACCGTGGCGTCGGGCTACGATGGGCGAGAGTGTGTTACAAAACGCGCGCGCGCGCGTGCGTTTACTCACACGCGATCGAAGCACCGATCAGCGAGCGCGGTGGCATTGTGGTTAGCACGTATGGCTACGCTCTCCGCTCACCCACGTTGTATTTCCAAACACAATGCGATCGTACAATAACATTTACATTTAAGTTGGCATCCAAATGCAAACCACATCTCCAGAAACTTCGCGGGGAAACGCTGAATACAAATGAGTCTTCAGCCTCTGGTGTGGGCCTCCATCGTGTTAACGTAACTTTAAATGAGCAACCGGTGTGCTTGTCAATATAAGGAATGGGGGGAAACAAAGGTGGCGGGTGTGAATGGTGGTGAAGGACACATTGCTCCCTCGTGCGTTGCGCAGGTCAGATCTGGTGCTCAATGTTAGTCACTGCTCCCTTTAGTATTTGCAGAGTTAATGAGACATCTTTTGTCTTTGCTTTCCAAGAGTGGATCGGTAGCATTGTGGTGAACACACTGCACCACAAATCAAGGAGAGCCAGGGCTCTATCCCGTCTCCCAAACTGCATCGGTGATTAATTTCTTCTTAAACAACCAGTGTAGTAGCAGACCAAGCGTCAACGGAGTCTTAAAACATTTTCAGGAGGACTGTTTGGGATGTTTGGTCAATTCTTTAGATTTAACGTTTATTGCATGCGGAAGAATAGAAGGTTATCGGAGGATAAAGACACGCACACAAGGGGACAGCACTCAAAACTCCACAATAAAGGATTTTGGGTTAGATCGCATAAATATAAACGTGTCATTAAACCCGCAACCACCCGACAGCCAATTAATTGAGGTTTGTCACGTCAACAAGACGTGCCAATTAGTTACTAGTTCAGCACATCGGTGTGTTGGACAGTAAACCCACAATATTTGAGGACGACGTTTTGCTGGTAATTATAAGCAGCCTCAGCAGGCGACAGCCAGAATTGTGGAGAAATCCTCCCGTCGTGAAAGCGTATGTGTTAAACTCAAAACTCCGCAAGTCAGGTCAGACACTCTCTGTACTGTTCCAACACACACGGATGTCCCACGAGTATGATGTCATCTGCAAGAGACACCAACCTTGCCTTCAAAGAATAATCGTTAGCGTCGTTTTGGATGATATGAGTAACAACGTAAATCAGCAGACAAAAACATCCCCTTCATTCATCTGTAACTTTCAATAAAAAAAACATTATTCGCGAGTGTATCAATTCAGCAGCTTTGATTCAACACAAGCAAACCGCGCACCGGTTTCAACACACATCGTCTCATCAGCAGTGTCAGGCTTCTAGATTTGAAGCTTTCGTGACTGCAAGGATTCATACTCTTTGGTTTTTTCGGTAAAGTCACGTAGGTAAAAGGTAGTGTCAGGCTTGCTTGAAGCGATGCCGGTGATCTGCCAGATGCTATCGGCAAAGACCCTCATGTGCCACCTATACATCAAGCAAACCTGGCCTGGTGATCTTGTAGGTCAAGTCAGGTCAGGTCACCCTATGAAGAGCGCTTAGCGCAGTGCGTCAACATCACAACCTGGGCGATTGCAGTGCTAGCACCGGGACTGTCCTCTTGCGTCCCAGCGAACGCACTCGAGGGATGTTTTTGGCTCCTTGTGCAAAAGCATTGATTTGCAGTGAAGCCATGAGACAAAAATCACGTAGTAATATTATTATTATTACTACGAATACAAAGAACCATTATTGTAAACGTGGTTATAATCTGTCTATTTAGGCTACGTTTATATTTCGGAAAGAAAATTGGAAAAATTGGAGGGCTTTAGCGATCAACACCATTTCGCTGAAGAGATCATTAAAATTTCCCCACTTTGCCATCAGTGGTCACAACAAAGGGGGATGGCTCCAGAGTGTTGTAAAAAGAGTTAATGGGGGGGGGGGGGGCCTTTGACAACACCACCACTTTACAAGAGTACTAACTCCCAGCCCATGAGAGGCTTTACAAATCCAAGCACGCCATTTCCCCTAACCCAAGCTTTTTAACCTTGACAAATCGCGTTTAAGAAAAATATGACAATGAGCTCCACGGTTAATTGCGAGCGCACCGCCGGCGCACGCGCCAACGCCAACGGCCAGCGTTGGCGTTGCGTCGTTCAATTAATGTGCAGGTTCCCCACCCGCCCCTACCCCCCCACCCCACAATCCCCCCAAACCCCTCCCACCACCACCACCAGCGTGCAGCACAAACGGACTGCTCGCCGTGCTGCGATCGATACGCCCTCGGGTAAAGTGACGCACGCGCGCCACGCGGCGCCGTGCACGACGAGCATCATCACATCGCTCTCGATTCCGAAACGCCGTACGCCAACGGGCAATTTTGTTGTTGTCGATGCACTGCATGCTGGATGAGCGTCTCCCCGCGCAACGCGGGCTACTTGACCATACTTCGCCACACTGGGCAGTGCGGGTTGGCGAAGGCGGGGAAGCATAAATGTGGGAGCGGAATACGATGCAGCGATGGATTTTGCTGCATCGCCTTCTACTGTTTGCATAATAACTTTGCACTGCACGACTAGCGTGCAGCATTAAATGGAACAACTGAATGCTATGCCGAGATCAATAACCATCCCCAACACGGTGATACTCAACAGGACGAGGAACAATCACCAAAGAGTCTACGCATCAGAAGTAACTCCACGAACTTCCCTCCCCTCCGGTGAGCTGGAAGATTCTCGGTCAAATCTCCATGTCACGGAGGCATCAATTATATTATTGTGTATTTTTCCATCAGGTAGTGTCTTTAGTTCACCGTGATGTACGGATCATAAATCTGGACAGTGCCATGGAAAATGGAACAAGAGGCTGAAACGAAGTTCGCAGAAGCGGCGGGAGAACTGCTCGGAATTACGTGGGGCATAAATGTGACCACAGGGACCAGGGAACATGTGAGACTTACAGAAACTCGTGGGCGGAGGTTGGGGTGGGGGGGGCAATGCCCACCAAACTGGACACCTTTATGAATTTATTTTCAGGAGTTTACAATTAAGATGAAAAATAAGTAAATAAATTATATGCACTCGCGATTCCTAATGTGAGGGACAGAGCCAACACCCTTTCCCCAAAAATATAGAGGTCAAACTCCGCCTATGCAGAAACCATATCGACTCATGAAGAGTGGGATTGTAGCAGGGCACGCGTCAGTGCTACCCAGCTGATCTGGACATCTGTGAAAAATAGCTCTACAGCTCATCGGATTCCTCCGTTATGAATAAATATTCTGATTATGATTCTATAGCTCTGGAAAGGGGGTGATGGCGAAGGGCAAGACTGCTGATGGAATATTAGCCAAAGGAGAAAACTTGCCCAAGAGGATGGCCAACGTGGAGATGGTGCGATGAGGTCCATGCATGGTACAGTTTTGAGATGGATTGTGCCATCCCAGGACCTACAGGGATGGTGACAGCATGCAGAGGACTTCATCCAGTAGTCTATAGAAAATGGCTGCTGATGGTGCACTCTACCACATCGTGAAATACGACATACAACGTAAGAGATGTGAAGACATTATTTGTCTTCGTCGTCACGTACACATTCACACGTGGCAATGAACGGCACGGATTGGGGCAAGGCGGCTCCTCACCTTGCCATCGGCGTAGTTGAAGGGCGCAGACAGGACGTACTCCAGCCGGAAGACGATGGCAAAACCCGGAGTGTTCACCATCTCCGGCAGCCTCACTTGGCTGCGCAGTGTCAAGCCGGACGCGCCTGCGATTCTGCGCACACGCACACGTTGGTGTTACCCAGCCGTTCCGTCTCAATGAAAACCACCATGCCGTCACAATCTTTTGAAGAGTCATTAAAGCATTTAGTGTTTGAGAGAGGGATGGATGCACCCCACGGTGCAACGGTTAGCACGCTGGACTTGCAATCAAGGAGGTTTGCGGTTCGGTTTTATCTCATGGCTCTGGCAGTTGAAACAATGGCGCAACGATTATTAAATGCCCCCCAACCGCCTCTGTCCACCCATAAACATTAAACTATTAAACTATTTAATTCGAAACTATTTTTAAAATCCTTTATATTAAGTTCACTTGCTTGCTTGCTTGGGCGCTTACGACCGTGCTAATCTTTCGGTCGTTTTTTAACCCACTTCCCGTGATCCAATCGAGCTGAAATTTTGCACACAGACTCGTTGTGCGTGACAATTTATTTTCGTGAAAATTTTTTTAAAAAATTTTCCACTTTTTAGGAAAATTTTTTTTCATATTTAATTTAAAATACCAATGTGATAAAAATGAAACTCTCACTCAAGAAAAACAGAAATGAATAATAAAATAAAACCGATGCCACGCATATAAAACATTTATAGTGAAAAACTTTGTTTTTACGGGTTAATTTTTATGTCACCAGGTAAGGCCCACTGAGCTGTATAGCTCTTTTTCAGAAGCGACCTGGCCACAAATTATAACCCAACGAAGTGGCTTATCACGTGGAAATGTCTACTCTAAAAGCCTGTTGATTCTAAATGTGGACGGAAAAATCGGAGGAACAGGATAAAAATCCAAACGACCACAGGAAGAACATGCAAACTACTCCAATATTTCATAATCAACGTTTTTGCGTTTAGATCGCGTTATTTATAAATGTGTCGTAACCCTCCACCACCCGAAACGGCCAATCAGTAAAAAGTGTCACGTTGACAAAAGACAAATAGTTCATTGCTCTAGCCCACCGGTGTGTTGAAGCGTGAAACAACATTTACAATTTTTGAGTACGACATGTCGCTGGTAATTGCATCCAGCATCATCGGGCAATTCGCCAGAATGGTGAGGCTCTGCTCTGGCTCCCGGTCTTATATAATAATACAGGCGTCAGGGTCAGGATCGAATCCACGTCCTCCTGCATACCAGCCGAGGGAGGTAACATCTCGCTACCGTGGCGCCCCTATAACAAACGGGTCCAGCAAAGTTAGTCTGTGATCGGCAGGTGACGTGTGGTGGGGTAAATCGTCGGTTCTCCCACCTCTTTCAAGATGCATGTCCAGTGTGGAAAGAGAATAGACCACCTACCCTCCAGAGAAGCTCTCTGGCTCAGAGCTTGGAACAGCTACATACTTAAGAATTTTTTCTAAGATTTTTGTAAGGAAACCGGGGTTAATCGCACATATGGAAAAAAAAACTAAATCAAAATAATTTCGCTGCCCTGATAAATAATCTACCAACCCTACCCCATCTAAAGTATTGGTGGGCATGTACTTTGTTTGAGACACAGCGAGGAGACCTGTTGTATATCAACCCTGTGGCTGTTCTCAGCCAAGGCATGCTGCACGTTCTGCTGTGTTCTAATCAAGGGGTAGTGTTTATCTTCGTATCTGTCACCAGTGGCTAAATACAGCAGCGTCTTTCGAATTCCACACGAAAAGTTCACAAAGCTACGGCTATGTACTTCCACCTACACACTTCAGCTCATCGCACTGGAAGGTATGCATATCATGCAGCTCATGATTCTCATTCATACATGATCCACCAATTAAGCGTTCGATCGTCTCTATTGCGGGAATATTCCACTAAGTCGATTATTTGGGACCCTTTAGGAATGCCAGCAACCCTACATCCTCCCTCTCGAAGGCAGGAAGCCCCCACATGAGCAACGCCCGGCGAGATGCAGCTGATGATGCTGGCGATGGCGTCACCGAGCCCCCGGCCAATCTCTTACCGGGCAGTGGCACACCTGGGTGCAGAGGTGAGACTCTGAGGCTTCTTCTTGGTTCTTTCGGTAAAGTCACGTAGAAGGGAAGTAATAAAATAATAAAACATAATAAAATAATTCTCCCGACAGACCTGGTCTTCACCTGAGGACGGCTGCTTGCGTTGTGGCCGAAACGTCGTGAGAATTATTTTATGTTTTATTTTTATTATTTTATTACTTCCCTTCTATGTGACTTTACCGAAAGAACCAAGAAGATGAATCCCTGCAGTCACGAAAGCTTTAAATCGAAACTCTGAAGTTTGTCAAGGCTCGATTAACCCAGCAAAGCCTCACCGAGTCTCATGAATCTTTTTCAGGAGGGTCCTGTCAATTTTTCGCAGTAGAGGGGCAATGTTGCTGTTGTGTGTAATCCCAAATGAGCAACATGCTAATCATTGTTCAGTACCGAGATGTTTTGGCCAATGCCAGTTACACTAAATACAACAATAGGTGTTACCCTCTCTGGCAATAAAGCAGTTGTGTTAAGATGTTAAAACACCAAACAGAATCGTTTTTCAAGGAATCCTGTCTGAACTAACCACACGTACTTGTGGTGAACATGCGAACAAAAAACACGCTCTGATAATAGATGCATTGCCTTTCACACTAATTGGTCCACACCAGAGACAGCTTTCTTTAGAGCCTAGTATCAAAGTGTTAGACCAGAGGACGCCAAAAGGCGAACAGCACAGAGACAACGCCACTATCAGGGCATTCATAGCTCGGGGTGAGCAGCTACAATATGGGACCTGCCAGTTACACTGTGTGTGTGTATGTTTTAAGCTATGGAAGGAAACCAGAGAACCCGGAAGAAATCTTGCAGAACAGGAGGAGAACATACAAAAGTCTACGATAGAAAGGTGCCCGAGGCCAGAATCGAACCCAGGGTCTTCTTGCTCCGAGGCACTGCGCACAACCCTGCCGCCTTTCATTCCAACCGTTCTCTCGAGTGAACCGATGTTTAGTCGAGCGACCCAACTGCTAATCATGAGAGTAATCAGCTGTTAATTCTAGATTTGAAGCTTTCGTGACTGCAAGGATTCATACTCTTAGGTTATTTCGGTAAAGTCATGTAGGTAAAAATAAAAATAAATAATAAAATAATAGAAGTAATAATAGAAATAAAATTATAAATCACGACGTTTCGGAGGCAACACAAGCTTCCGTCTTCAGGTGGAACCGTCACAGCACAATTGCTGTATCAAGTAAAGTCTCTTTACGTTGCCTCCGAAACGTCGTGATTTATTATTTTATTTCTATAATTACTTCTATTATTTTATTCTTTATTTCTATTTTTACCTACGTGACTTTACCGATAAAACCTAAGAGTAGTAACCAGCTGCTTAAATAATCGGACGTCCCACCTCCACAGGAGTGCATTGCCGCTGCACCAGATCGGCTTGCTGTGGCTCACCGTGCCAACCCTCGCCCGGACAACTTAGCCTCCCCGTGCGGGTGAAATGCGTAGAGGGCGCAGGGTTTGGCATCGTCCCAGGGACAATCAAGAGTTGCGATTTGGAGAACAGCGGGGAACAAATATGAATCTTAAAAAAACGCACTCAAATGCCTTTGTACAAAGGGCTCCTTTTTTTGCACAGGTGCATCTGGTGAAGCAGAACGTAACCGGTAACGTCTGCCCTCTGTAACGCTGCACAATAAAGGCTTTCCACACACGTGGTGTCCTCATTACACTGCTGGTAACAGTGGCACTTGTAGCACGATGTACGAATATCCGGGGCAGCAGGGGGAGGGGGTGGTGGGGATGAAAGCACATAACTCAATCTATGTTATCACGAACGAGGACTTGTATTATGAGCTTGCTTGTGCAATCGTTATCACTGGCGAAATGTCTACCGCATCTTCTACATCCACCGCATCTTCTACATCCACCGCATCTTTTACATCCACCGCATCTTTTACATCCACCGCATCTTCTACATCCACCGCATCTTCTACATCCAACGCATCTTCGACATCCACCGCATCTTCTACATCCACCGCATCTTCTACATCCACTGTCTATGGACGATGGCCTCCCCACATCGCCGACCTGCGATGCCACAACCCATTTTGCTTTGGCACATGGCCTGATCGTTGCTTTTTATTAACAGTTTGAATGGTGCCAATTGCCTGCGTGTGTTCTCTAATCCCTATCATCTTCTTCTACGTCGTCTCCTTCTGGCCTCTGGCCAGATTATGTGTGAAAAGTTAAGGCGAGCAACGAGTTTTGACAGCCACGTAATCCGCGTGTTCCTCCGACTCTCAATGTTATTCCCAGCATGCATCTCCCCCATTGCTTTTGTGCGCACTTTTCAGTTATCGTTCCTTTTTTTACTTTTCACGAATGATCGTTGATCAAAAAATGTCGCGACATTACGTATCGAAATGATCACGTGATAATCGTATCATTATTGTTGTGCCATGAAGATTGTGTGTGCCGGCCTCAACAGACCCCAATGGATGTATGTATCTACGCTGAACTTCTTTCGCACCGTAGGCTGCTTGAACCAATGATGGTGAACTGACAAATGTTTTTGACGAAGACCCTTGCTTTAGTTTATGGGTCGCAATGTGCCACCTACATATTAAGTAAACCTACGCCTCATTATCTTGCAGGTCAACTTAGGCTGGCCTGGTAAATTCTCCAAGTCATCCTATGATGAGTGCTTAGCGCAGTGCGTCAACATGAGAACTGGGCGACTGTGGTGCTGGCACCGGTTTATCCTCTTGTGTGGCTGCTGCAATCGATAGGTACCAACCGTGATAATCGGAGGCGCGACGCCGTCTACGATACGCAGCCCACGGTGATCTGCTGCTGTACCCGCGCGCAAACCTTGTGTAGCGATACGGCCGTAGATATTTTTGGGATTCTCCGGCTCGAAGACCTGGAACCGGTTCCGAGCGGTTGTTCGCGATCAATCCCTGAGGCTGAGGCAGTTTTGCAACAGACTTAAAACTTCATGTTACAAGAAGCTTACTACGTGCGATCAGTGTGCATTCATGATGGACTTAGAATCATGAGAGA